AATAATGTATACTGCATTGAAACAGATGAGGGAGAGAACTGTTTAAAAGGGATATGTGATTAGGTATTATTGTCACGACAGGAGTCCAGAGTGGAGTGGACCTGGGGGAGGGTTTGTAAAACAATGAAAGGATTTTTCTTTTACTTTTCCAAGAGGGGAATGTCCTGGGGGGGAGGGTTGGGAGGAGAGAAAAGTGCAACAGTGAATGAATGGAAATCCGAAGTCTCTGTATATTTTCCTTGAAATTAATAATTTAAAAAAAAACAAAAATTCTTTCATTGTTAAACAATCCCTCCCCCCAAGTCCACTCGCTGTGGTGGTTTTGATTGCTTTCAATGCGTCTGAAAGCTGGACAGTGAATAAAGAAGATTGAAGAACTGACGTATTTGCATTGTAGTGCTGAAAACGAGTACTGACTATCTCTTGTGCTGACAAAGAAGCAAGTGTGTCATGGAGGAGGTGAAACCAGGATGCCCCTTAGAGTCAAAGATGGTGAAACTTCGTCTTACATGCACTGCGCCTGTTGTCAGGAGGGGCTGGTCCTTGGAAAGAGACATCATTCTGGGAACAGTGGGCGATCAGAGCAAGAGAGGAAAACCCTCAAGGAGAGGGAGTCACACGGTTACCGTAACACTATCTGAGATCGTGAGGATGGCCCGGGGTCAGGCACGTTCAAATTTGTCGTTCACAGGGTCACTGTGCGTGGTGGTCGACTCTACCATAGCTAACAACAGCAAGAACACTGTGAGCTTATGAGAGGCTGCTCGGCCGAGCCCTGCGAGGTGGGCCGATGCAGTGACTGCAGCAATGGGCTCACACACGGCAGAGACTGCCCAGAGGGTCGAGGCTCGGCTCTGGTGTACGGCAGGGTTGCTATACATTGGAGGCGGCTCAATGGCACCTAACAAAACCAGTTTGGGTGAGGAGGGAGGGTGACCGCTCAGGGGCCACTTAGTGTCTGTGCCGGGAGATGAATCATTCAGAGGGATGCTGGTCGTAGTCACTTGAGGTGGCCATCACCAGTGTCCCGCAACTGTCCTCCTGACGTTCACTGAGATGACAAAGCAGCACAGTTGTAACGTGCCAGACTGCTAGCCCGAAGGCTGTCAGTTTGAGTCCACCAGCTGCTTTCTAGGGGAATCTCCACACGCCCTAGAGATTGACGGCCTCAGAACCTCCCTGGAGGGTGGCTGTGAGCTGGGTTGGAATCGACGGTAGTGGATTTGGTAAAACAATGTTGAAAGACGTACAGAAGGAAAAGAAGAGTCCGGGCCAAGTGGACAGCCGCAGAGCGGTCACTTACCTTGCAGGGGTCCAGGGCGAGGTGCTGCCCTGTGAGGATTTCCTGGAGGATCACGGAGCACTTAACGAAGTCAAATGCCGGGTGGCTCACATCGGGCACAGGGGTCAGGATCTCGAGCACCCCAGGCTGGGTGAACATCAGAGCCGTGTACGGGGTCCAGAGGTTTTGCTGTGAAAGCTAAAATAAAAGGGATTTCTGAGATCCAAAAAATTCAAGTATCCCACTGTTCAGATTTAAAGAAGGAATTTCTCCTGGCAGGGATCCAGCAAGATGGGGTAATGGTGGGCAGAGTTCACTGGTGATTGATTCTATAAAACATAATGAATGGGAATGGTTGTATGGTGTGAAACACAATGTATACGAACTTCATAGGCAAACCAATACAAAATAAATATTTTTTAAAAAGAAGGTATTTTTGTTTCTTTTTTAAAAAATGTCATTGTTTTCAAGAAGGGATACATTAGTATTTATTCCATTATGTTCAGGCAGGAATGTTTTTCTTAACTCACTCTATACTGGCCTCGCAAACAGAAGAATTTCATGAAACAACATATGAGCAAGAGCCTATGGTGATGAAAGAAGTAGTTCAGGCTGCTTTGAAGGACATGGCAAAAAATAAGGCTCCAGGAATAGATGGTATACCAATTGACATATTTCAGTTAACAGATGCTGCG